CCCCCGCCCGGCTGCAGCTCCTGCCACTCACTGCTGACTCCCTGGGGGCGGTGTGGAGGGAGGTGGGCAGCAGAGAGAGAGATCAGAGAGAAGCCCACAGCAACGTACGAGTCCTGGGACTCGGGTTCCAGGTTGCCTGAGACCGAAGGCTTCTTCCTCACTCAAACCTACATCCAGAGCTCTCTCCTCATCCTCGTGCCCACTCCCCCTGGGAATCACCGTCAAGCAGATTAAAAGGGGTGCAGTCTGTAGGCCCTGGGAGCAGGGCCTGACCTAAAGGAAGCTCTCATTAAGTGTTGGCTGTGGGGCTGGCATGGGCTCCCTGGGAGGGGACAGACAGGCAGGGAGGGCTCAGGGGATGTCATAGGCATGGCAGCCAGAGGGGAGGGATCTGGGGGAGGCTTGCGAGCCTGTGTTCAACCATAAAGTGAGGCCCCGCCACTCAGCTCCTGCCAATCGCTGTCCTCAGAGGGCCAGTGTTGGAAAAGCTTCTTATTTGTCAAGAGAAGGCAGGAGCCTTGAATGCTGATTCTAATCTACCATGCAGGCCAGACAAACTAGGCCACTGGAATTTCTATGGAATTCTCAAGTCTTCCTGAAGCAGGAAGGATGAGACTTATCCTGTACCCACCCACCCTTTAGGGACTGGAGAGAGAGAGAAGTGAGAGGGGCCCTCTTTGGCCACCCAGGGGAGGTGGTGTGGGATCGTGACCAGGAGGAGGCAGGATATGCCAAGGACTGATGGCCAATTCAGGTACCCCAGTGGCTGGAGCTGAGTGGCAGAAAGAGGCAGAGATGTGCCTGAGATGGAGGGTGGTTGGCTGGGCCCTGCAGGGCCCCTTCTCCAAAGCCCATCCAATGGAGCACACTGAAGGTGGGAAGGGTGGCCCAACCTGTCCAGATGCCTGGCTCACAGACCACAGGCATGAACTCCCCTACATCTCTTGGGATTGGCAACGGCTGCTACAGGACCTAGTATCAGGAAAAGGGAAAGCCTACTTCCCAGGGGAGACCCGGCATTTGGGCACTTTAAGCACTTATCCCCAGGGGACGCTGGCTCTCCCTTGGGCCCCCCACCCCCTTCAAGCCAGCTGAGCAGGCCTTCCCACAGGGCCAAGGCAAGAAGCAAAGCAGAGCAGGGCGAGCAGCCGTCCAGCAAAAACGCCAATTCTCCAATAAAGCACTTTGTGCAATTTCCTTAATTGAGCACAATCACCAAATGCTAAGTGCTCATCCAGCTAGCCAGTCTCCTCTGGCAGCAGGGTGCCCAAGACACCAGCACACAGGGTGACGACACCCACCCCGAGGGTGAGGGGTGACAGCTTGCCCCAGGGACAGCCCCCCGGTGGGCGTTTCAAAGTGTGCTACTGTTTCCCTGCCCAAGCCGAGTGCTGCTTCCATGTCCTGCTCTGCTGGCTGCCCCAGTCCTCGTCCTGGGGGCCCTGGGGGGGTCAGCCATGTCTTCTGGGTACACCCAGGCCGTCACCACTGAGGAGCAGATACCAGAGCTCGTGGCAGACCTGCATGCACAAGACAGTCTGAGCCTCGGCTGGCGAGGGAGGAGACATCCCTGCCCACCTGGCTCTGAAACCACTGTGCTGGGGCTCCTAGCACCCCAGGCAGAAGCACCACGTGCCTGGCAGGATGCGTGTCTGAGTGCTGAGGGGCAGGGGACTTGCTAGGAATGTGTCTGAATAGGACGTCCGGGCCCTTCCCCAGCACACGTTGGCACCTCGGCAGCAGGTCACCAGAGAGGGAGTGGAATGGGAGAGAGAAGGAGCTAATTCCAACCCGGCCCAAAGTCCTACCAGGGACTGATGGGAGGCTTGGTCCACAACGGCCACAGAGTCATCAGTGGCGGACTCCAAGTCGTCAAAGGCCACTTCGATGTTCTCCTGGAAAGGAAGACAGAGTAGCAGTGAGCTCAGGGGCCATGTGTGTGTGGGGGAGTCACGAGCCCGAGCAGCGATCCAATTGCTCTTCACCTTTGGAGGCGCTGGCCTGTATCTGGGGGCAGCTGAGGTTCATCTGAGCGCCTTTTCTACTGCGCTGCAGTCTCGTTCCCCTGTGACTCGCCCCAGGTGATTAGGCAGTGCGGAAGAAGGCTGCCTTCCATTTCACACAATTATCCTTGAAACACTTGAAGACAACTGTCCTTTTCTCCTGAATCGTCTCTCACCCAGGATGCATCGCCTCCCCAGTTCGTTCAATTCACTGCCACGTGAGCAAAGATGTCTGGATCTGTCCCGTGTGGGTCACCCTTCTGTGGAGGGTCCCGAATTGAGCACCTCGTCTTCTCAGATAAGGAGGAGAGCAGGGCAGGTGAGACCAGGCTCCCTGGAGACTGAGACTGGACAGGAGCAATTCACAGGGACTCTGAGGGTGGTACTGTGGGGGTCAGTGGTGGACTGCTAACAGCAAGGCTGACGGGAGTTCGAGCCCATCAGCTGCTCCTTGGGAGGAAAATGAGGCTATCTGCTCCTGAGAAGATTTACAGCCTTGGAAATGCTCTATACCAGTGTTTCTCAAAGTGGGCGATGCCACCCCACTGGGGTGGGGGTGGGGGTTCGCACTGGAACGATTCAAGGGGGCTGCAAAAGCAGATACCTATGTTTTATTCTGGATAATGGGCTATAGTACAAAAGTTTTTTCATTGGGCCGGGGGTGGGGGAGATGCTATTTTTGTTTGTTTGCTTTTGAAAAGGGGGCAGTAGGCCAAATCAGCTTGGGAGTGAATGTTATCTATGGCCACCCTGAATTGGAATTGACCTGAGGGCAGTGTGATTGGAAGAGGGTGTCTGGAAGGTGAGCAAGGAGGGGCTTCCAGAGGCCCTCAACATGCCCTTCAGCTGCTTAGAGAACTCCCCACATAGCGCGCTGGTAGCCAGGGACCAAAGGCCAGGGGCAAGGGGCCAACAAAAGACTCTTTCTGCGGAGAGCCAGGCAAAGCCGGACACCAATGCCCTCCTGGCTGCGGCGTCCAGTCCGACTCAGGAGTCCACGCCTCATGGAGCAGAACATAACTGCTCCCTCCCCAGGGCCATCCCCAGGGTGTGAGCTTTATGAAAACAGGTTGCCAGACACTTCCTCAGAGATACTGCTGGCTGGGTTTGAACCACCAACCTTTAGGCTCATTGCTGTGTGCCAACCACTTGTGCCACCCAGGGACCTCCAAGAGCACAAGGGGCAGAGAGGAGGGACACATCACAAACCAGCAAGAGCAGCCAGCAGCGGGGGTGGCCCCGGGGAGGGGAGGAGCTGGGGCTGAGGGCTGAGCCCTACCTCCTTGTATCTCTCCAACTCCTGCACAAAAGTGCGCTCATGGAAAAGCCTCTGCAGCCGGTCCTGGGCGTAGTTGTGACACAGCTCCTCGAAGGAGGCGCCTCGGGCCGAGCCGCCCTGCTCGGGGTTCTGGAAGCCCGGAGTGTCCACGATCATCATGGAGCAGAGCGAGTGCTGGCTGGACTTGAGCGCCCTTCCAGGGAGAGCCCAGGTCAGCGCTGGCCCAGAAAGCACGGGGTCTGCCTCTGGGGTCGGGCAGCCCTTGCCTGCACAAGCCCAGTCTCCATCCCTGCCCAGGTGCCCTGCTGAGTTGCCCAGAACCCTGGCACGGATGCACGGGGACGGCGCGCCCTCTGCTGGTGGATAGCGGCTCTGCTCCAGCCGCGGCACCAGCACAAAGCGACCCGCTCCCAGGACGCACCTGTTCACCAGGGAGATGAGGAGTGTGAAGAGTTCGCTGTAGAGGCCAGAAGCCATCCCCTCTAAGCACTCCAGGGCACTCAGTTTGGGGCCTGGGGACGGGGGAGCAAAAGGATTGCTTTACGTCCTATTCCCAAGGACCCTCTACTTCTGCATCCCCCCCCTGCTTTCCCTAGACCAAGTGGGCCTGGGGACCTGGGGGACAGAAGCATGCCTTCCCCGGCAACAGTCTCTTCAGCCCGGCTTGGCTCCCTGACCTCCCCGTACCTGAGCCATCTGGCAGACCACTCTCCTCGGGGCCCTGGCGGAAGGAGGTGGAGCGCTGCAGGGTGCCCCCCTTGTGCTGGTGCTTGAAGATGGACGAGGAGAGCTCCTCCAGGCTACAGCCCAGCAGGTACGCAGCCTTCTGGGCCCACTCGTGTCGGGCAAACTGCCTGCGCCCAGCTGCGGGAGCAAGGACTGGGGTCTTGAGATGTTCTCCCACGGGACAGGGGAGTGAGGTGCATCTCACAGAGGAAGCAGCCCAGCCCTGGGGACCCCGGAAGGGCTTTGAGCAGAATGGGGGCAGCCCCCAGCTACTATTGCTTCCTGGGTCCCTTACAGGGAGGGAACATGGGCGGGTCCTGGCAGAGGCAGTAACTCCACCTTGTGGCCACCCAGTCCTGTGAAAAGATGACCCCTCTCAGAAGGGGCTGGCTCAGGGGAAGGACGATGTCAGAGGCACCTGTGCCTGTTAGGGACTTCTCTCTAAAGGGCACTAGCACCTCCCCTACCGACAGCGCCTAAGGCCCTTGCTCTTACGCACAGATGCCTGCTGGGGGGTGGGAGCACAGAGACCCACCCATGCTCCAACAATGGGGAGCCAAAGCAGGAGCAGGGGGTGGGAGCAGCCCCCCACCCCACAGGCCTGTGGCCTCAGCCAACTGAGTGTCTAATCAGGGTAATTAGGGAACAGCACTAACAAGAAACAAGGTTTTACCTTCCGCAGATTCTTTAAGGCAAAGGACCAGCATGCAGCATGCAAAGAAAAACAGTGTGTTAGCAACAGTTGTGGGCCCATGGGAAGGGCCGAGGGGGACCGGTGGGGGGCCTGCAAGGATGAGCCGGCGAGGGGAGAAAATAAAGCATCCACGCTCAGACCACACACACACACACACACACCATGCCCTTGGAAAGTTCTGGGAGCTCAGCGGAGGGAACAGATGCAGTTTAACAATGACCACGTGCAGACACCCCCAAAGCTCCCCCGGCAGCAGGGCATGTATCCCTGTCACCTCACAGAAGAGAGCTGGCTAGACGGCCCTAGGCCGGCCTGCCCTCAGTCGTCCATAGACAACTTCTGTCGCCCAGCATCTGATTTATCTTTGGCTGGGATGCCACCTGCTGGGCTCACAAGGAGCCTAACACCCCCCAACCCTCCCCTGCCCCCGTGTTTTCTCAGCCCTGCTGAGAGCCTGGGGCTCTCAAGTCCCAGAAGAAGATGGAGCCAAACCCAGGTGGCTGTCTGGAGCTAGCACCCATTCCCTTAACGGTTCTCAACCTTCCTCAGGCCTCGACCCTTTCATACAGTTCCTCCTGTGGTGGTGACCCCCCAACCATCACTTTTTTTGCTGCTACTTCATCACTGTCATGTTGCTACTGTTATGAATCGGGCAACTCCTGTGAAAGGGTTGTTCAAACCCCCAAAGGGGTCGCGACCCACAGGTTGAGAACCGCTGCCTTAAGCGGATGAGAAAGAGGGGAAGAGGTGCTCGAAGCCCCTGCCTGTGAAAGGCACCCCGGAGGGAGGCAACAGAGCTGTTACAAGCCAGACCAGTCTCTGCCATCCACAAGCCCGCAAGCGCCAGTGCTGAAGCTGCAGCCCACTCACTAGCACGGGTAACTGCTGCCCCCTAGTGTCCGCCACCCTGCCATGCACGAGGAAGAGACACCTGTCACTACACCAGTGGGAGAAAAATCACCCGTGGGAAGACCCAGGGAACACTGGTCTCCAGAAGCCAGCCCCCACCCCCACCCCTCTTCAGTTCCATGAGGGCACCCGGAAGGGTTCCAGAATCTGGATGCAAAACAGATAGGAGATGCAGCTATTCCTGGGTCCCCCAGAAACCCCGCCGGCAGCAAGGACCCCTCCAGCCTCAGCCCTGGGGCTTCTGCCGGGTCAGCTCTGCTCCCCTGAGACAGAACCTGCCCTGCCCGCAGAGAGAGCCCAGAGCAGGCACCCAGACAGGGCAAGGCGGCCCGACACCCGAGAGAGGGGCCAAGGGGAGTTACCCGTTTGCTCCTCGGGTGCTTCTGTCGGGAAGGGAACAAGAGGGAGAGTTATTCCAGTGGGCACTGCTCGGAGTGAGGCCCTTTCTCCTTTCCCCAGTCTCCAACCCCGGACCCAGTCACTGCCCTGACATCCAGGCCTCAGGCCATCAGAGGTGCTTCTGCAGGGGGTGGAGTCTTCTGCTCAGGGGCAGGGGGCTGGGAAGAGACACCAGCCAGAGTGGGGTGGGGGAGGGTAAGTCTGGTAACTGAAGAGCTTCTGGGGGGCAGGTGGGCAGGAGCAGGCTGGAAGTAGACAGGGCCTCTCCAAGGTCTTCCGGGTGACGAGCAGGTACTGGGCCCAGCCAGTCGGGTTACCTTTGGTGGCGCCTGCAGCCCCCAGGTGGTAGATGGCAGCCAGGATGAGCCAGCAGGTCTTCTGTTCGTCGGGGGAGATGCCCAGCACCTTCATGGCCGTCTGCAGCTTACTGAACTGCTGAGCTGCCTTCTGCTTCTCTTCTGGCTACAGGGACAGACTGGCACATTGGCATCGGAACTCAGAGGAGCTGGCCCTCCCAGCAACAACTCTCCCCAGCCCACCCCCAACATTGCTGCTGGGCCCCTCAGAGAGGACAAGGACAGAGCTGACCAGCTCTGCCACCACTCTCCTCAGAGGACCCTACAGGAAGTGCCAGCCTACTGCCCCAGTCCCCACAGCGTCCTTACCTTGGCCAGTGGCACAATCCCAAACACATTATTCTCTGCCAAGTGGTTCAAGTGGAGCTCTGTCCTAGGGGTACAAATAGGGTATCAGTACCCGGCTTGGTCCCCACGCCAAGGCTGAGAAAGGCAGGCTCAGCAGTGCCTGTCTGCCCATCATGCCCCCGAGGTCTGGTCAGTTGCTGCTGTCATTCTTGGTGTGCTTGAAGGCCTGGTCAGAGCACCAGCCCCCACCCCACCTCGCCCCCTGAAAGGGTCCGGCAGGCTCTTGGAGGGGGAGGGAACTGGGCGCAGGTTCAGCCAGGCCAGAGACTGCCTGTTGGGGGAGCGAGAAAAATAAGCCCGAAGGCAGCTTGCTCATCCTTGTCAGTTGCCCTTCTCCTGTGAATGCAGACCGCATCCTGGAGGTCTGCGGGGAAGGACATGGCAGAGGCAGTCCGTAGAAGGACAAGGGACAACTCGGAGAGCACTAGAGAAGGCTTGGGCTTTGGCATCACCACCGTGGGTGCCAGCACTGGCTCAGCCCATACCAGCCCCATGACTGGGGCACGTCACAGCCCCCGAGCCTCCCTGGGCTTTCCTCTCCAGGCCCAGTCCCATGAGCAATGGAGATCCTAGCACTCAGGGGTCAGTGGTGTCCCTGTAGTAAGTCCCCTGGACCTGGAGCCGGGGAGACCCTGCTGGGTAAGGCCGGCGTCTCATCCATATCACAAGGCCCAGGGCCTAACTCAGAGCCTAGCACACAGCAAGCACAGACAGACACAAATGATACAAGATGCAATCCAGTGGCAAGGTCCAGGGACCCAGGCCACCACCCGGTGCCCTCTGACCCCTCTCACCTGAGGGTGCCATCCCCACAGGCCAGCAGGTAGTAGAAGATGTTGAACGTGGCCTCGGTGGTGGGGCGCCGAGCCACACGCAGCTTCTCTAAGAGCATCGTCTGTGGCCCAGCCCAGAGGGTGGGGGATGAAGAGGGTAGCGCAGGTCAAACTTTCCACCCCCGACCATAAAGAACCAGACCAGAGACCATCGTCACCCCCCTCAACCCCCTCTGATTCCCCAGGTGCTCAGACCACCCCAGGGCCACACGGGCCAGAAACCAGAGCCAAGCAGAAGCCAGTCCGGCCCAGCTCCTAAAGGCCCAGCCCAGTGCCAGGGCAGCTTTCTTGGGGAGGAGACCCCTCTGCCGTGAGATTGAATTGAGCGTAAGAGGGACTCGCCCAGGCTGGGCTGAGTATACCTACGGTGGCATGGGGCGTTGAAGCCCCAGCAGGGTAGGGAAGGTAGCGGAGGAGGCAGGCACTGGGCAGAAAGAGGAGCCCATCAGGGGGAGCAGGAGGCATGAAGGGAGAAGGCTTGGACGGAAGGCTGAGCAGACGGGCTGCCCTGCCTGGATCAGGCACATTCCAGGGGGCTGAATCCCAGGAAAAGGAGGCACGTCAGGAAGCCTAGTCCCAGGGGCATGAAATTGGGCTGCGAGTGTCCCACAATCCTGAGGGCTGGGCAGTGCCCTCTTACCTGAATGGAGGCCGAGGCCACCTGGCCCGCCTGGTCAAAATCCAGCGAGAGAATCTGGGAGAAGCGGGTGGCATTGCCATTCATGATGGTGGGGCTGTTCCCAAAGGCTTCCAGGAGGGTGTACAAGGCCTGCCACTTCTCCACTGCAGAACACAGGCAGGGGTGGGGAGGCCAGCTTACCCCACCCGCCGGTGCTCCAGAGGTCCAGGCCCCACCCAGGCGTGAAGGCTTGGAGTTACTCAGGTCAGCACTGCCCAGAGACAGAGCAGACTCGAGGGGATGGAGAGGCCGGAGAGAGAAGTGGCCCTCCAGGCTCCTCCTTCCCCACTCCCACCCCCAGCCCATGCTCCCTGCCCCCAGCTGACCCCGCTCACCAGAAAACACCTTGTTCCCACTGGAGCCTGCGATGGTGGCGAGGTACTGCACCAGGTGCTGGCAACTCGTGGTCTTGCCGCTGCCACTGCTGCCCAGGAGGATGATGGACTGATCCTGCCGGCTCATCAGCATGGCCCGGTACGCCGTCTGGGCCACGGCATAGATGTGGGGCGCCATGTCCTCCCGCCGGCACCCCTTGAACATGTGCATCACCTTGGATGGGAGTGGGAAGACGGTTAGCCGGTCCCCACCCGACAGCCCTCCTCCCCAAAGTCCACCTCTCTCTGGGGTTTTCGCCGAGGAGGCGGACGGGCCCTGGAACGGGAAGCAAAGGCCACGTGCAGATTGCAGGTACTGGCACAGCCAAGGGCTCCATTGGAGGTTAGAACTGAGCCTGGAAATGCTTCCTCTTACCAGGGTCAGCAGGGGGGTTGTGGGGGGAGGTCAGATGCGCAGGCATTCCCTCCCCTGAAGGCAATCAGTTGCCAGACTGCTGTCTCATCCCACCACAGGGGTGGGCCTGCTCCCTGCCTCTGGGGACAGTGGACAGGCTCCTGTAGGCGGAGTTTTCACCCTACTGATAATGTTCCTATGGAGACCCAGAGACCATCCCCTAGACCACCCTCTCATTGCTGTGTAACCTATAGTGCAGCTCCTTCCTGTGACGTATGTCTCTACCTGTAATTAGTGGGCTGGCTTGCCCCCAAAAGGTATATAGGCGTGAGTCAGCAATAGAGAGCTCCCTGACCTTTCTGATCTCTGACTCTCTCTGATCCCTCTCCCTTCCCCCTCTCCTCTCTCCCTTGCTCCCTTGCCCTCCTTCCCTTCCCCCTCTCTCCACGTGGACCACCAAGCTGGGCTGCGGTGAGCAATGCTACCATGTAACGTGTCTGACTGCATTACTGTATTATCTCTCATGCTCTCGATGACTTTAACATAATGCTTATATATCTCAACCGTACAATTGTGCATTACTGAACCCAGAAGTAGTATTACTGTACCAGTGAGTTCTAGTAGCGGGTGGGGCTGGCACCCCACCCCACTCCTCCCAACACGATTTTAATTTAATACTACAGGGGGTGGGGGGTGGGGGGCATGACAGGAGCTGGTGAGAGGCAGTGGGGGTGGAGCAGAGAGCCAGGGAAGGGGCGGGTGCCACACCTTTTCCGAGTACACAGCAGGGGCTCCACGGGGGCTGAGGACAAGCAGGCTGGGGCCAGCATACGTGTGCAGCAGGCTCGCCCCGTAGCGCTGGCGTAGCGTGTGCAGGGCACTAGATTCGTTGAGGTACACCAGGGAGGCCAGGTCTTCCAGCCGGTCGCAGGACGGGGCATTAGCCTGCGAGAGAGAGAGGGGCAGGCGGGGTGAGCCAGGAGCCATGTGTGTGTGTGTGTGTGTGTGTGTGTGTGTCTGATGTTTGTGTGCAGTTTGTGTGGTATGTGTGTGTGTTGTACGTACGTATATATTCTACAAGTATGCATGTAGGATGTGGTGTGTACGTGTGTATAGTATAAGGAGTATATGTTGTGTTGTACAGTGTATTATCTATGTATGCGTGTGGTATGCGTGGTGTGTGCGCATGTGGTGTGTGCACGCGTGTGCACACGTGTGTACAGGCAAGGTGTTGTGTGTATAAGCCTGCCCGGCCCACACCCTCAGGCCCGCTGCCTGTGAACCTTCTCCACGTCGTCTTCGTCCACATCCAGGACGGCTCCGTCATGGTCCAGCTTCAGCCGCACCTTCCCCTCCGGCGGGCTGAGCTCGTCGGATTTGAGCTGACTGGCTGCAAAGCGGGGACACACCGCCGGACATGTTGGGGAGCTTTGGCCACCCGGTTAGGTCTATCCCTCGTCCCCCAGTCACCAGCCTCTCCTCATTCTCCACCGCCTGGGACCACGGACCGCAGGGTCTGCACACAGGGCCCCCCAAGCCTCACCCAGGGAGAAGCCATCCTGGTGGACCAGCCACACCTTCTCCGTCTCGTACCAGGCCTGCTCGGCTGCGATCTGCTCCTCGGTCTTCGCCTGTCGGTGGGGAGGGGGAGAACCCATCCATCGAGCCTGCTCTAGCGGGCCGCAGAGGCTCAAGGGCGGCGTGAGAGACAGACAGTGGAGGAAGGGGTGGGACAGGCAGGTGGTAGACACAGCACAGGGCCAGTAGAGGTGTCAGGGAGAGAGGTGGAGAAGGTAGGGAGTTGTGTTGCTCCCGAGGAGGTGCCGGCTTGGTGAGGACAGAGACAGGGGACCATCCTCTCGGCCTGGAAGGCCTGGGAAGGACAGGGACACAGGGAGCATGTGCCCCAAAGAGAGCAAACTCCAGGAAGCAAAGCACCAAGTCATACCCCTGGCCACCCTCTGCCCGCTCCTCCTTGCCAGGCCTGGAAGCTCAGTCCTCGGAGCGCAAGCTCTTGGCCCTGGGCCACAGCTCTGTGATCTTTCATGCCCGGCTTTGCCCTCAGCCGACAGTAGGGTCTCCTTTACCCAGCTAGGCAGGCATTTCTTCAAGACCTGAGGGAGGTATCTACCCAGGACTGGGCGACACCAAGTGGCAAGTGGGTCCAGAGCCCCTGGCTTGAGCCTTGGCCTCGCCCCCTCCCCTCCAGACCATACTGAAGCCAGGCAGGCGATGGTGCCCAGAGGAGCATGCCACCTCCCTGCCTGGCCCTTCTTCATGTCACCAGCTTCGTACACCCCTCCTCAGAAGGTGGCAGGTGCACAGGCCTCTGTGGGCCCACGAACGAACATCATACAAGCCCACATGAGGCGGCCAAGCCAGAGATTGGGGGTTAGGGGAGCAGTGTGGGGAGGGGCCGGCAGGCCCGCCCTGCCGAGCACAGGAGGAGGCTGGGACGGCACACAGATGGGGATGACACCGCCCCCCCACCGCCCCGCCCCAAGTTCCAGGTAGTCACCAGTCAGAGATGAGCTGAAGAAAGAGAGACTGGGGTTGCCCAGAGACAGTGCCTGGCAGGGGTGGGAAAATGGGAGGGGAGCCCAGCTCCCAAGTCCCGTCCAGATCCCGTTGTCTTGTGAATAAAAGGGCAGCAGGATGAGACAGTGGCCTCTCGAGGAGATGGTCACCCGTGGTGGCAAGAGGGAACCCGCCCCATTCAGCACGCCTGCTCTCCAATGCCCCCGGTATGGCTCCCACGGTCTCTCCTGGAGTCCCCCAGGGGAGTGCCTCTGCCCCTTGACCTGAGGCTGAGGCCCAGCCCTGGGGTGAGGCCCAGGGGAGGAATGAGAGAGCCTGAGGAATGTGCTCTGGGCCCCCCATTCTTGGACTGGCAAGAAGAGGCGCGCTAAGCCCTGCTCTGCCCTCCCCCGGTGTGTTGTTGTGGGGACACGCAGCAATTCAGCAGCGCCACCGGCATAGTGCAGTGACGCTGGCTACATCCTGCCAGAGTGAGGCTCTCAGAAACCCACGGGGGCAGTTCTACTTTTTGTTTTGCTTTGCTTTGGTTTCTTTTCCCCAGCTGACCCTCCCCTCTGAACATCAACTCATTGCTCTGTAAAGTTCCTGTCTCATCTCTGGGGTTGCTGCTGTCCATCTGACCCGTGCAGATACCGCTTCAAAGAACGCAATGCCCAAGGCAGGCATTCTTGGACTAGCTAAGCTATGGCTTGGGGGTGTTTTTAGTTGGCTGGTTTAAGATTATGTTAAGACAGTTTCAGGCTCCCATCCAGCCTGCATGGCCCCAGAAAGGCCGGAGTCCGAGAGCATCTACAATTCTGTTCTGTAATCCCCCCCACACACACCCCCCTTTGGGTGTGGATTCGTCTGTGCAATCTTTGATTAAACCGGGCAGTAGCTGTAGCTGGGCATCATGCCATTCTTTTGGTCCCAAGCAAAGGAATTGCCACACCTTCCGTTCCTCCTCCGCTGCTGCTCCAGCGGAAGAGGGACCCAGGCGTTGAAGAGTTGCTTGTAAGCCTGGACGACCCCCAGCACCAGAAGGTGAAGGGAGCCCACTGACCACCCCCTGCTGGAGCATTCACCTCACTTACAGCGGCCCTATCAGACAGAGGATAACTGCTCCTTGGGGGTTCTTCCCAAATCTGTAAGTCTTTATGAAAGCCGCCTGCCTCATCCCTCACCCCCAACCCACCCCCGAGTGGCTGGGTGGGTTTGAACCACGGAGCTTGCAGTTAGCAGCCCAGCCATTAGCCACTAGGCCTCCAGGGCCCCAGTGGATGGAACCAAATCACTAAATGTGACTTTCCCCGGCTACTGAGCGGGAGGCCGGGCCGGTGTCCGTGATGCCCAGAATGCTGGTTTCGTAGACCGTGAAATTACCTTCTAAATAGGAGGACACCGTGGGGTTGTCAGCATTTTAATTTGATAAGTGAGGATGTTTTGAAAGTCTAGTTCTTCATGTTTGGAGAAATGTAACTTTAGATGTAGACGTGTGTGTGTGTGTGTGTGTGTGTGTGTGTGTGTGTGTGTGTCCCGACGCCTTGCGATGCTTTATTTCTTCACATCAGGTGGAAAGGGTGAGACCTTGGTCCTGCACGGGCACATTCTGAGCCCAGGTTTTCAGGACGGATGACTCCGTCACAGATTCTAGGCAAGGCCTTTTCGTCAACCCCTTCAGGGCTAATCAAGAGGAACCCTTCATTCAGTGGGCTCAGCACTGGGCCGCTAAGCAAAAGGTTAGTGGTTCAAACCCACCAGTGGCTCTGTGGGAGAACAATGAAGCAGTCTTGTTCTTTAAAGATGGACAGCCTCGGACACTCTCGGGGACAGGTTGAACTTGCCCTGTGGGTCAGTTAATAAGAAGATGGCCAGCAGGGGGAGACAGAGAACGCCTCACCTCCAGGATTGGCCTGGAGGGAGGGCAGGCAGGAATACACCTTTTCAGCTTGCTCCATCCTGTGTTGAAACACCTAGAACCCCAAACTCTGGCCACATCCTTGGGTGTCGGCGCCACTGAGGCCAGAACAGAGCAGTTACACATGGCCTAGAGGCTCCCAAAGGCCTTGGCACAGAGCTGCCCCATCTCAAGGTCCTGGCACTGCCTCCCCCAGGGATCCCCCCAGACACCGGGTGGGAGCCCAAAGGGGAAAGTGGCCTTACACTCCAGCACGAGGCCCGAGCACAGACGCCAGCCCAGGTACAGGCCAGGGGCAGTGGGTGGTCACCGGAGGAAGAGGAGGGCTCCTGATGGGGGTAGGAGTACCCTACCTGGCCATGGGCAGGAGAGGCGGCCTCAGGGTCCAGCTATCAGCGGCAAGCAAAGAAGAGGGAGAGAGAGAGAAGTGAAGACAGGCAGGCCATTGGCACGTTCCCTTCAGCACCCCGAGGGCTCGTGGATGCACACATGTCAGCTGCCTGAGGGGCAGGGTGGAGCGTGAACAGCGGGTGAACTGTGCCCGGGCAAGGGGACTAAGGGGAGGCCCAGCTTATTACCATCTGACATCAGCGCTTGTGGCCTGGGCAGGCGAACGCCATCCAGTCCAGCGTGACTGTGCCCAGGACCTGCGTCCCATCTCAGGGGCACTTCCAAGTCTCAGCCCCTGCAGCACAGAGCTGTCCCCTACCTCGGAGCACCACTACCCCAAGGTGGCCTCTCCCCACACCCTTCAGAGCTCACCACTCTGCACCTCAGAACAAGGCCCCCTGGAGCCCCAAGTCTAGGATCCTTTCCTTAAGCCCCCGTGGCACCCCTACACCTCTCCAGGTGGACACACTGACCACCTGGCAAGTAGAGGTGTCACCCACCCAGATCCAACCTGGGCGTCAGCAGGCCGAGAGGCAAGGAGCTGTGGGTGTGCTCTGTGTGACCTCTCTGTCGCTTGTTGGGTTACTTAAGGCCCACAAGGCCTTTCTAAGGAGGAGGGACCGTCTGTGGGACATTGGACTCTGCCTGATAGAAAAGGGTAAGGGGTTTAAAAGGCCTCCCTGAGTCTGGAGAACCGAGGCAGCCAAAATGGGCCAGGTGGTCTAGGGGAGGGTGTCAGCGTCTTGCTTTACCACTCACCAAAACCCAAAAAATCTCACTGCTGTGAGGTCATTGCTGACGCACAGCGACCCTACAGGACAGGGCAGAACTGCCCCTGCGAGTCCCTGGGGCTGTAACTCTTTATGGGAGTAGAAAGACTCCTCTTTCCCCGCAAGGAATGGCTGGTGGTTTTGAACGGCTAACGCTGCGAACTGCAGCGTTAGCCGTTCAAAACCCACTTCGTCACCACGATTCCACCAGGGCTCCTCACAGCCCTCACCGTTGCCGCCGTGGCAACAAGACAGGATCGTCAGAGCAGGAGGGTCCGTCCCCTCCCTCGGGCACAGGGCTCTGACTCGGGAGGAAGAGACCTCCCAGACCCCTCCCTCTAGAGGAACATCTCTAACCATGGGCAGTCAACTGCCCCCCACCCCTACTCCCCGGCGGCCACTCCCATACATGGATACACACAGCCTGGCCTCCACACACGAGAGAAAGAGAGAGAGAGAGAGAGAGAGAGAGGGCACGTTACAGAAGCGGTGAAGATCCTCTCTAGCCGCTGGTGGGCCTCCTCTGCTGGGGTCAGCTGGGCCTTGGGGGCAGCTCCTGCCTAAGAGTTAAACCACTATTAGTGCTGGCCTGGGGCAGGCGGGGGACCCAGCATGCTGAGCTTGCAGCCCAGGAAGCCACGGGAACCGCTGGGTAAGCGGAGTCGGAGTTGGGAAAGGATTCCAGCCAAGCACCCATTAGTTTCTAAACTCACAGACGAGGGAAAAGAGGAGAAGAGGTGCCCACTGGCTCCCGATATTTCTTCCCACCGTCTTAAGCCTCGTGAGCCCGTGGGCCAGAGCCAGGATGCCCCCGTTCTCCCGCCAGCCCCAGGTGACTGGGCTCCAGGTCAGAGTGCATCCCAGCCCCTGCAACTGCAGCCCAGTGAGAGGAGGGGGGCAGGGCAGGGAGCCAGGAGGGCTAAGGGGGAGAGGGGTGTGTGCAGCCAGCCCAGGAGCAGGCACGTGACTCTCTGGCTACTTATAGGTTCTCTCTAAGGACTGACAGTTGATCTCATGTCCTGCCTGAGGGCCCAAAGTGCCCTTGCCAATCCTTTCCGATGTGCAGTCCCTGATCCGGAGTAGGCGGGGAGTGAGGGGGAGAGGGGGGGCTGTGGGTTGCTCCTCTGATGCTGCGGAGTCTAGGATGAATAGGTAACAATTGGGGAGACTAGGACCCCAGGGATCCCAGGAAGTAGCAGCCAGGAGCGTGGGGCCCTGAAGCTGGGCTCCCAGCATCCTCCTGGCCCCTCTCCTCCCATTCAGAAGGGGACCGTCAGGAGCACCAAGAAGCCATGGCGAAATCAGACAGCCCCTGGAGGGGTCTGAGAAACAGGGCAGCTTGAAGAGAGAGACTGGTGCCCAACCCAAGGACCAGTGAAGTAGGCGTCGCCTTGCAAGGGGAAAGGGCTGAGCCGGCCGACGGGGGTGGGGTGGGGGGGGAGCCCTCCGCTCTGCTTCTCAGCCTCTGCCCACCAGCAGAGAGCAATGTGTTGTGAGCAGGCAGGGGCCAGGCCGATTCACTGCCCAGCACAGGGCTCTCAAGTGCCCAGCTGGCAGGAAGGACGCTGTGCTGGTGGGCAGGCATGAATAAGAGAGCAAGGATGATGGTGGCACCAGGAGCAGTTAACCAGCCTGGTGGGCATGTCATCCCTGTGGGTGGAGCACCCTGCAAGGCTGGATCCCAGCTTAGAGGATCACTCTGTTCCTACAAGTCGCGGCAGCCCACGGCGCTGGCGTGGCCCCTTCGCCATAACTTCAACAGGCAAAAGCACTCTCCTAACAAAATCTTTTCAAAAATCATTTGGGTGGCAAAACCTGAGGGTTGATATGTATCGCCCCGCAGCAGCAGGGACATACATAGATTTCTTTTTTTGCTCTCAAAATATGAATATGTTTGGTTCCAGGTCCTAGTCATTGTTTACCCTGTACAACCCTCTCAGATCCACACAGAGCTACCCCCGAATACTTTTGGCTCCAAGGCTTTCTGAAACACGGCCCCAGACCGCTCTAAAGATGAAGGCTTGGAGGTGGGACCTTGCTGAGTGTCATAGGGGGCGAGTGGCGGGGGGGATGTGAACCCAGGCCACCTGATTCCGGACAAGCCTGTGTTTCTGCCCTGGCGAAGGCTCTGCTGGGTCTGATTCACCCAGGCTCCGGCCGCTGTGGCAAGAGCGGAAGGGCAGTGGCATGCGGGTTAGCAGCTCCCCTCCCAGCTACCTGGGAAGAGCTCAGGGCACAGAGGGCCCTGGCACCGTGTTGAGAAAAGCCATGCAGCCCCCGCCACCCGGCCCCCAGGCTCTGGACCCAGTGTCTGCTGCTCATGCGGCTCACTGAGGTGGCTGGGGATGCCAGCTGTGAGGGTGCCTGGGTGGAGGACCGGAGGTTAGTATCATACTCAGGTACCTCCTGCTGTGTGCATGGGGCGGCTGGCGTGGGCTGTTGCTCTCCAGAGAGGTTTGGCTGCTGGACAACGGAGCTCGGGGCCGCCAGCTCTTCCGGTGGGGCTGGGGGACACTGCTTCTCAGGGGTGGCAGCAGGCTTGACTGGGGAGCCTGGTTTCTCCGGGGAGCCCACCTTCTCTGGGGAGCCTGGTTTCCCCTCGGAGCCTGGCCCTGGGCTGGGCCCTTTCTCCCTTCTCCCAGACGGCTGCTTGCTGCGGGGCTTGTGGTCCTTGCCTCGTCCCCGGGACATCAGGCTCCGCAGGCCCACGGACAGCTCATCTTTGGCCCCTTCTCTCTTCCCTTCAGGCTTAGATGGAGCAGGAGGGGGCGGCGGCGGCGGCGGGGGCTTGGGGTTGGGGGCAGCCTTTTCTCCTCTCTTGTTCCGAGCTGGGTGCTCAGGGGACTTCCCCCCTCGGCCCGGAGGCTCCTCACCAGGCAGCACCTTGCTCACCACCTTCCTCATGGCATTCGCCACCCGCTTCCGGGACAGACCCTGAGTCTCCTCGCCGGGGGCTTCCACCGAGGCAGCGGCCAGGCCGTTCATGGCCAGGGCAGGGACAGGGCTCTTGGCTCTCTGGGGAGTCTCTGGGGGTACCGGGACGGTGGGGGGCTGAGGGCTCCTGGACGGGCCACTGCCATCTGTGGAGCTACCCTGGAGCTAGTCACACAAATGGGGGTGGCGTTAGTCTCAGCCCGTGCATCGCTGCCCACCCATGACTTCACCACGAGCCCTCCACTCACCCATGCCCCCCACTCCACAGCCCCAGGGATGTGCCCCAGAAACCCTGTCTCCACTGACAAGGGCAGACAACTGCACCTAGGAGCTCAGCTCCTCCTTCCCCAAAGCACTAAGAGGCACCACTGTCACCTGCTGTCTGATTCCGGGGCTCAGGAGGACACTGTCAGACGCCGGCCTAGAGTGCCCGGAGGCCCAAGGCCGGGTGAACCATCCCAGCCCAAGGCTTCACGCCTTTGTGGGCCCTGATCCTTCCATCCTCCGAGCCAGGCCTCATCTCTTCCAGCTCCTCTGGCCTGCAGCCACTGCCTACCTTCAAGGGGCCCAGCGGCCCAATGCTGGCCCAGGAAGCTCCTCCCGCCCCACGACCCCCAGTTTACTTTCTACCTGTCTCTTAGTAGCTTTCCCACAAGAACTGTTCCCAAGAGCCTGGGGATGCCCTAGCTCTCAGGGTATGGGTGCGGAGGGGGGAGAAGGGAGAGGAGGCAGAGGCAGCCCAGGAAGGGTTAAGTCACAGGGCCAGCCTCTCAGCCTGTTGGGGGTAGGTGGGGGTGTACAGGAGCTGGCTGGGGTACCTGGGCACACTCTTCCTCACCGGCGGGAACTGGGAAGGCTGGCTGGCTAGTGCCAGGGCAGAGTTTCCCACCCTCACCTGGGCAGCAAGGTCAACCTGGGGTCCTCACTGGTTGGGAAGCGCTCTATCCCTGAGCTGAGCTGAGCCCTCATTGCCCCCAAACAATGACCCTGGTTGTGGAATGTACCTGTCCATCCCTGTGCTTGGAGATGGGGGCAGCCCTAGGAGACTCTGCCTCTGGCTGCCACCAGGAGAGGCCACCCCACCTCCTGGGCAGGGCACAGCCAGGCAGGCCTGGGTCCAGGTCTCAGCTGCAGGGGGCTGCTGCTACAGGGGTGAGTGAGGGAGGGCTTGAAGATGCTGGAAAGCCTGCCAGGGCACTGCGGAGCTGGCTGGTGACCCCATCCCTTCGCCCTCCTTCTGGTTTTGCTCTATCCTTTATACATACACACACACACACACACACACACACACACACACACACACACACACACCCTGGAACAATCTGAGGCTTGTTGCTCGCATCCTCTCAAGTGCACCCTTTTGTAACCATGGGCTAGCAGGAGTGTGTCAGGATCAGGAGCAGCTACCATGCCTGACCAAGGAAAACTCCACCCAGTCAGGACAGATACCAGCTGGGGTCACCAAGTATTGATCTGTTTTGTAATCCAGCTCTGCCCCAGACGCTGGGCACGCTGGCCCCGGGGGTGCCAGCAGCTGCCCTACCCTAACTACACAGCTCTGTGTCTGGCTAGCCTCAAACTGCGTCCCTCCTGGTGCCTGACAGGAATCCAGCTTGCATTCAGGGCTCCACCCAGAGGCAGGATGACTTGGGGGTGGGGGCTGGGGGCCGCAGACAGCCGGAGCCTCCCTCCAGGCCACCAGCATCCAGCAGCTGACAGGGTCTTGGGGAGAGACAACAACAGCTGCGGTGGATTCCCTCCGTGTCCTTGTCCCGAGCCATGAAGAGCTGGCTGAAGTTCGCGACAGCTGAGCTCTCTCTGAGCGTCCCTGGGCCTAAGAGTTGGCCTGCCTGGCTTCTTCCAGCCCCAAAGGGCTCCAGAAACCAGAGGTAAGGGGGACAGGAGACAGTCCCCCGAGCATCTGGGCTTCCCCCATCTCTTTCGGGTAACACCCCAGGCTGGTCATGCACAGCCTGCTGCCTGCCTTGTCAATGGCATCCCCACCAGCTGTACCATCCAGGGAGGGGCACCCTCATGGGCTAATCCAGGGCTGGTGAGACTGGGGGCAGCCCCCCTCCCCAGACAGATACACAGAGAGGTCTTGAAGAAGCACTTACAGCCCCTTCCTCCTTGCCAGGAGGCCCAGGCTTTGGTGGCATTTTGTCCTCCTCTTTAACCTGCAGGGCAGACAGGGAAGTCACTGGTAGCTCAGGGTTGGGTATCCGGCACAAAGCCCAGGAAGGAAACAGGTGTGTGTGTGTGTGTGTGTGTGTGTGTGTGTGTGTGTGTGTGTGTGTTGGGGAGGGGTGCTCACTCTCCCCATGGGGCCTGGCCCCTAAGTCTTCAAGAGTCTGAGGCTAGGGGACCTGGGCAAGAGAGAGCCTACCCTGGGACCAGTGACAGCTTCAAACACAAGGAGAACCAGTGGGTGTGAAGGCCACATCCCTTCCAGGACTGCAATCACCACCCTTTGCCCGCTTGGGCTGTCTAATGAGGGCCGCCCCCAAGAGCCACGTCAGGGCCTGGTGACGTGGCAGAGAAAAAGATCCCATTAATTCAGCCCAGGCAAAACCACAGGAGTCAGCCCAACTCTGATAAGCAGTGGTTTGCACAGAAGCCCCTGGCT